TCTTAAGAGCATTTCAGACAATAGGTACAAGTTCTTTCAACTGAGTAACAAATAACAATAACCAGACACTCACGTGGTCGATACATCTGCACGTAATGGAAGGTCTTCCAGACATATCGCCATTAGAGGAAGAAAAAAGAATGGGCTAGGTCTGCAGTTCTTGTGAAGAGCAAGTTATGGTTGACGTATTTCATACTGTTTTTCCAAAGGAAAAACTATATTGTTCTTGTTAAATCGAAACATATAGGAACTGTTTTTTAAGAACATTCTCCGACCAAGTGAGGTAATTGTTGGATAAGTTTCAATGCTGTCCGAGTCTTATTCGATTCAGTTGAGTTCTTCTTCAACGTAATAACACTATTTGTAGATTTTTTAAAGTATTACTTTGGTTTTCGATTCAGCCTCGCACATGGTTTGATTATTCTAGCCATGGTCAAGACGCTAAAAATTAAATCCATGATATTAAACAACGAGGGGGACATCGTGTTTCAGACTTGAAGGATAGGAAGAAAACTTTCCCGTTCAACTTGATAAACTTTAACTGTGCATGCAAAAATTATGGATTAAAATAAGTTCAAATGGATAAAAGTTGACCCCAACAGTTAAAACATTTAAAAACAGTTTTAAAAAATGAAACAAAAAACGTTTAACTCATATTTTTGGATAAAACATTATTTTGGAGATTCATCAATTGAAATAGCATGAAATTAAACCAGGTTTGTTGAAATAAAAACCATCATAACAAAATAATTCTTTTGGTGTACCGAGGTTAATGAAAAAATGACTTGTCACTTAAATAATTTTCATCTGTAGTTAAGCCTAAAAAAATTTTTTTGTTTGTTGAATTTCGCGTAAAGTAACGTTTTTAATAAGCAAAATTGGGCTTGTTTTCTTTAAATGTCGCTCTTGTCTATTTTTTATTATTAAGCACAAAGCTACTCAATAGACTATCTATGCGGTGCCAATCACGAATATCAAAACCGGGATTTTAGCAGTGTGAACGCTTAGACTTAACGCTGAGCCATTGTGGAGAGGGCTTAAAAGTTGCGGTTTGGGGGCTTGTTTTTTGTTTTTGAATTTCACGCAAAGAACATTATTCAGACGCTCGCATAAGGTGTCGCACATAAGTTTGTTTGTTTGTTTGTTTTGAATTTCGCGCAAAGCTACACGAGGGCTATCTGCGCTAGCCTTCCCTAATTTAGCAGTGTAAGACTAGAGGGAAGGCAGCTGGTCATCACCACCCACCACCAACTCTTGGGCTATTCTTTTACCAACGAATAGTGGGATTGACCGTCACTTATAACGCCCCCACGGCTGAAAGGGCGAGCATGTTTGGTGGGGCGGGGTTTCGAACCCGCGACCCTCAGATTGCGAGTCGAGCATCCTAACCACCTGGCCATGCCGGGCCTTTTGGGCTTGCTTTATATTCTAAGGCCGCATATTCGACTTCAATGCACAGGAAAATGGTCTTACGAGTGATTTTTGTGATTTACTGGGTTAATGAATAGCCTTTCAAATTATTTTAATTTTAGAATCAGTTTATCCCCACTCCTGTTCGATTAAAACACTCACCCACAATCGTGAACTTTCTGGCCCGCTAACTTGACACATTCTATACTCTAATTAAGCCGCCCAAGTCGCAGTTTTTAGAGTAACCCATAAAAGAGCAGCTTTGAAAGTGAGTTGCTACTTGTTCGGAACGGCAGTGCCGCTTATTTTTCTCATGAGACTTTCTTACATTGAAAACTACTCGCCGTCTCTAATTTTCATTTGACTGAATAGAGGGAAGGTAACTACTCTACAACACCCATCGCCATCTCTTGGGAAAGTTTTGTCTGTTCAACTAGTGGGTATTGACTGCAGTTCTTATAAAACACATATATCCTCAAAGTGCGGAATGAGATTTGTATTTCTGTGATTGCGGAGCCGAACATCAGCATCCTTTTAACATTTTTAATCTTCAATAGAAACATCAGCATTCTTTAAGGATCCCCCTACACACTTTAACATTTTTAATCTTCAATAGAAACATCAGCATTCTTTAAGGATCCCCCTACACACTTTAACATTTTTAATCTTCAATAGAAACATCAGCATCCTTTAAGGACCCTCCCCCCCACACACACACACTTTAGCATTTTTCTTACCCTTAACATACTTAAAACATTTTTCTGTTAGTTTTAAAATCATAAGCCAGTTGTTTCTCATAACCCCTTTCTCATAACCAATAAATAAATAAATACAAATTTGCTGTATTATAGGTTCGTCGTCCGTGACAAAACTTTAACCAAATCGTTTTTGATTCCGATAAGTTTGCATTTTAAATAAATCTTTTCTTCATTACCTAAAAACATATTGTGTTTTATAAAATGAGAGAGCGTATAAATCGACCATTAGTAAGCGACCGATCTTGCACGATATTATGAAAATATCGACAGACCTTTCAATCTTTCATTTGTAAATTATGTAAAAAAAAAAGTAAATGTTAAACACGCCGTCAATACTTCGCCATTAATCTTCTTTCATCCGGGGACTAATGACCAAAACCGAATAATGAAACATTCATGATTCGCGGCCTTTAGACCGGAGATTGCTAACCCACCTAAAAACGCCCATCCCCAGGATCCCTGTTTAAAAGCGACGAACCTAATTATGTGAAATATGACAATGTGACCTCCGTCAAACACACGAGACTAGTCAAGCGGAATTTCCATTAGAACACCATTATAGGGGAAATCGTAACTTTTTAGGGTTTTGCTTAGTAATGACTGACAAGCAGGAATATCTAATGTTTCTCTCTTTTTTCCTTTCTTTTTTTGTTGTTTTTGATGTTCTTGATTTCTTCGAGGTGATTTTTTTATAGCTACGGCACAGTCAATTTTTCAAGGTTTTCAATTTTCAAGGTTTATATGGAAATCCAAGACTGTCGATCATTATTATAGATTTTGTTCTTGATTGTACAGTATGCATAATTATATTGTGATTTTGTTCTTTCGTTGAACAATTTATTTTCAATTATTCAGTGAAAATAAGTCAACGTCCTGCCTATGTAACAAGAACAAATCAGTTTATTTATTTCTTAAACACTTTTACAGGCTTGATCAATGTGGTAACTTTTAAGCCACGTTTACAAATGACTCTAGCTGCACAACACTAACGTAAAACAAATCAACTTGTACAAAATAACTCAATAAGCGCAATAACTAACACAATGACTAATTCACTTTACCAGCTAAAAACAGCTCTATCTTCTTAACTTTGTCTTTGCTTTACTGATTCATTCTGCAAGTTTACTTAACTTATTGACTGGCTCACCCGTATTTATAACTAATCTTTGTTCTAGATATATCGCAAAACATCTAGGTTTTCGTGACGTCAATTTAGAATGTTCTAGGCCTGCACTTACAAATTTATTTGATGTTAACGTCATGAGGCCTCTAGCTAATATCTACGTTACTACATAAAAAATATAGCTTATAACAATTATTTATTCTCTGGAACAATGCTGATTGATAATAAAACAAAACGCACGACAATGTAAGGAAACGTGGATTTCCAACAGTGATGTGTCCTGAAAAACTGAAGACTAGATTATACAGTTAGGGTTATTCGAATTTTTGTTATTAAAACATTACACGATGTAAATAAAACTTGAATACTTTTAAACAATAAAAAGTAACATTGTTTTGTTTTATTGCCAAGCCAATGGGTTATCTATGCGGTGACTTTCATGGGTATCGAAACCCTGTTATTAGCGTTATATGCCTTCATACTTACCACTGAGCCACTGCGGGAAAAGGGGCTGAAAAGTAACATTTTGAACTAAATCTTAAAAAATTCAAATATTTAGAATAATTGCAATAATTAATCACACGAGTTCCATTGGCAACAAAAACATAAAGACAAACGTTATAAAACACGTAAATTTGACTACCCCTGGCCCGGCATGGCCAAGTGGTTAGGGAGCTCGACTCGCAATCTGAGGGTTGCAGGTTCGAATCCCCGTTCTACCAAACATGCTCGCCCTTTCAGCCGTGGGGGCGTTATAATGTGACGGTCAATCCCACTATTCGTTGGTAAAAGAGTAGCCCAAGAGTTGGTGGTGGGTAGTGATGACTAGCTGCCTTCCCTCTAATCTTAAATTTGTAAAAAAATTTGACTCTCCCCCCCCCGTGGCGGTGTTATAAAATGAAGGTCCATCCCACTATTCGTTGGTAAATGAGTAGCCCAATAGTTGGCGATAGGTGGTGTTAACTAGCTGTGTTCCCTCTAGTCTATCACTGCAAAATTAGGGACGGCTAGCGCATTTAGCCCTCGTGTAGTTTTACGCGAAATGCGAAAAAAAAATCAAAGCAAACCTATATTGAGAAAAAAAATCAAAGTTCAAAAAATGTATGTTTTTTTGTGTTTATATTTTTATATTTATTCGCGATTATTAATAGGCATTTAATTACTTATTTTGCATTCTTAAGTAAAAAGTCGAATTAATACTGATGCTATAAACGAAAAAAGCTATTTTTGGTAATGAAGAAAGAACTTTATTTGAAAAAAATAACTTCATCATTAGGAAAACAGGAAGAGGAAATAAGACCATGCAATATATAATTTAAAGTGAACTTAGTGACAAAATTTTTACAGTATTTTATTTTGCAGCACAGATAGTTTGATCTAGTTTTATGTTAAGTAAGTCATGATTACAGAATCTATTTTTATCTCTTCATTTTTTTTATTGTTAACGTTTCAATCAAATACAGCGACTGTGACGATTTTAGGTCATCGTAGACGAGTGGAAATACAGCGACTGTGACGATTTTAGGTCATCGTAGACGAGTGGAAATACAGCGACTGTGACGATTTTAGGTCATCGTAGACGAGTGGAAATATAATATATATAAATTAGGAAACTAGTGATTAAATTAATTTTTATTTATGATTTAATTATCTCTTCATAATTATCTCTCTAAACCAATCTAACTTTCAACAATGTGTTTTTCTCGCAGCTAACTTCTAACTGGATAGCTTTCATCTGTGTAAACATTGTGGGAATATTTGTGCATATATTGATGGAGCATGCGCAGAGAAGGGCTTTTTTGGATACCCGGAACTGTATCAATGCACGACTTGAAATGGAAGACGAAAATGAAAAGCTGGTACGTATTTACAGATAGACATTTAAAATTCTGTAATAATACGATATACACAACGCACCAAAATGTTGGAAAAAAAGGAAAATATATGTGGATATGTATGTATACATACATAGACAAAGTTTACAAGACAACTGTATTGATTTTAATATTTAAAGGAAAGATAATGTAAAAACTGCATCTCCTTCGCCTTTATTACATTTCAATACAAGTTTTCAGACAACAACGCCAAAAACAAAAAGTACCGCACATAAATAGCAGAAAAATAACTTTAGAGGACAAACTTCGTTGTAAGAAGAGTAATAAAGCTTAGTGAGATGGGTTTCTGAATAGGTAGAACCCAAACAGCAGCAGGTATACGCTGTTTGTTAGGTTAAACCTAATTTCGCAAACCTTGCATGTGCAAGAGAAAATATAAGCAAAAGCAAACATGGGCGCTCAATCAAGCCAGCATTCTACATCTAAAAGTATCATTCACTGTCTGCAACTGGTTGTGGGAATATAGCTTCTTCTAGTAAAACATAGTTATAAAAATAAAACATAATATTAATTAAGTTTAATATCTGAATTTTGAAAAACCATCTATTGTAAGAAAATATTGAAATTCGAAATGAAAAACTGTTTTGGAGTGATAAACCTACTATTGTTTGAAAATTTTCGAAGTTAACTTTCAAACAAACAACGTTGTTTTTTCAAATCGTGGATAGATAAATTATGCTTATAATTTAATTTCAGGAGCGTCTCTTACTGAGTGTCCTTCCTCAACATGTTGCCATGGAAATGAAAGAAGATATTATTAGTCCCCGCGAAGGACAGTTCCATAAGATATATATCCAGAGGCACGAGAATGTCAGGTCAGTATCCTTGATTGGTCAGTGTACGTGAATGTCATTAGTACAGTAAGAAGTCAGAGCACTTGAATCTCAGATTCGCGCAAGAAGAGACCAGGAGTTTGACAAGTGAAGCTGAGCATATTAGTACAGTATAAATTAAATTACGGAATTATTACGTTAAATCAATGTAATGCAACGTGGGATAGAAAGTAATAATACTGCTATAAAGTATTTAAATAAATTTACTTTATCAATCTCTTTGCAATGTTTGGATCATTTTGTGCTTTTGGTGAACAGTAGAATGTTTTAGTTGACAAACATTAAATAAACTGATTCATATTCAGGTCAAAAACAGAAATGAATCTTGTGAAGACTTAAAAGGACTAAGAAATTTTGTGAAAGTAAAATAATAAACAGAATATTCAGAACAGCCAGAGCTAAAATAAAATAACAAACTTGTTGAGTACTGACTGTAAGAAAATATTCCTCTGATTTGATCTCATTACTTGGATATTTTGTTTAGATTATATTCAAAAACGTAAAGCTCTTTAACAGTCTTTTGCTCCCATGAGATTGGAAACGAGATCTTAGTATATTTTTCAGATAATAATGTTTGGAAAATAAAGCTTAAAGAAATTAAATAATAACATTCCTCTGTCTTATTTGTCGACGAATAAAATATACTTTAAACAGTACAAAATAAATTTAAAACGTTTCACATGAAAGAAACCATTAGCTTTGAAAGAAAAAAATTAGGTTCTTCAGATTAAACCTTAATGCTTTTTTCACTAGTATCTTATTCGTTTTTGATTTTTTCTTATTTTAGAAGACTACCTCACACTAACAAAAGATATGATCGGAATTGTAGGATGTATTTCACCTCGTACGTGGTCTTTAAAAACTATTTGATAAAGTACAAAAACACAAAATTCAGTGCCGATGTATAAAAGTATTTTAGAGATACCATTAGGTTCGGATTGGTCCAGAGGCACAATTGATAAGCTGGGTTCAAATCCTTGTGATAACACAAAATATTTTCCACACTTTAATCGGTGCATGCATTCTAACAGTGACATTCGATTCCTTAGTGTGGATGGTAGGTGTAAGAGTGCCTTCCCTCTGGTCTGTAGTTAAAAATTAGGGACGACGGCAGCTAGTTAATTGCACTTTACAAGAAATATCTTCATATGTCGCTACAGGTACGAGTGTGGTGCTACGGGCGATATGCTTAGTACCTATTTATTTAATTCACGGCGATTTATTGACCATAAAAGTGTGGGGTGAAGAGAATAAACTTTCTGAACATCCCCTAGTGTCATTTGACCCTGAATTATTCTTGGGTTCAGAGTCAGATGATTCAAATCAAATCTTGACCATTTGACGTGCAATATCGCCCCGGATATAACTGTATCTACAGTGAGATGCTACAGCTTTTTTTGAAAAATATATTTGCATTATGATATTGTTAAATTATGTGGAGCCAAAGTACAAAACATTTCGAAAAGGGAATTTCTTCAGTGTTTTACAATAGGAAGACAATAAACTCGCATGAAAAATATAAAATAAGACAATCTCGTGTGTAGCAGTTAAGAACAAAAACCACAGTAAACGGAACAAACTGTCAGAAGTCTTGATATTAGAGAAACACGCATAAGCTTTTAGGACAGCATTCAGCCCCGAAAACACATCCCCATCTATAAAATGACTCAAAAACATTGCGATGGATCTGGGAATCGTTACGAAAATAATAAATCAGGATATGAAGTTTACGAAGGCTAATACAAATCCACGAAAAATTCGAAATCAACAGCTTTTTCCTGAAAAAAAAATGGCAAAGAAACCGAAATCACGCAATCCTAGTAGAATACTTACCTATCAAATCTCGAATAAACTTTTGTGCCTTTACTCTGCTTAAATGTGGTTCATAATAGGGATCGTCCATTTTTCTTCTTTATTATTTGTCTAATATTATCCCCCCAGCCTACAGCAAAAATATCTGTGAGTATTGTAATGAAAACTGCCCAATATTACTAAGAGCATCATTGCGCATCGTGTAGGACAATTTTAACATTTATTTGACTACCTAGCAAATAACAGCGACTGTATAACCGTTCACACCCAATCGTTTTAATGTAGTCTGTGGCTTATATGGAGCCTCATAATCTACTACATGCATACGTATATAGCTGAATGCAGGCCGTGGGTGTAATTCAATGTTCATGTGGCAGGCATGACACAGGTATCATAGCAAATATTTACCTACTGTGCAACTGTATTGATGTCGTGTATCTATAGAGTTTCTGTCCTTTCAAACACAACGCTGCTGACAGGATCACAGTTGTTGTTTTTTATCACTACATGACTGATTTCGGCCATGTTACAAAAACGTTATACAAACTTCTAGGCTGTCTTCCATGACATAAATCTTTTAGCCATAGATTAAAAAATAGCACTAAACTCAGTTTCGAGCATCGGATCGGCAATCACGGTGATGACCGATGGTAAGTGTCGAAATATAGTCAACACTGCGTGATTGCGAATTTTATAGACAGATTAGAGTAGCCATCATTGAAGATGCCTATAAGGAGTGGTAAGAATGTGGAAGCAGGATATGGCAATTCTATACGAAAGTGGAGCAGAAATTTTGTACCTATATATTTCATTTAGAAAATATTTAATTTCAGATAAAATTTGCAGTTACGACGGCCCACTAGAGTTTAGGGTCGTCACGGTGGAAGAAGGTCGAAGTGTCACGACCCAAACTCCATCAGAAATGGAGGGAGAAAATGTATATCAATATAATCAGTTCATAAATATTAATTAACAATTTTCGACCTATAAAGTGTGCATAATGTCGCGCTAAGAGGAAAGCTGCCCAGCTGCAGCAAAACCTGACCGGCCTTACTATGGCCAGCAGAGAGGATGAGGAAGAATGGGGAAATATAACAACTATAAAAATATTAAGATGTTTATTTGTATACACTGTTTCATATTTTCATTGAGAATATATGCATTCATATATACAACTTGAAAATTCATACAGCTATCTATCTATATATATATACACGGCCTTACAACTTAAAGAGCTATAAAGTATATATATATATATATATATATACAGATATATGCATGTATCTAAATCATGCGATTACAAAATCCGGTCCATGCACTATTCCAGCATAGTTCAATCGTTCCTCTAATCCAGTGTTTACAGACTCCCCATATAGCTACAGGTTATAAATATAGCAGATATATATATATTACAAGCATATATATAACATGTGATATGTTTATCACCATGCATCATAGTGGCCATGCATGCTGTACCACTATCAATGATAGCGTTGTGATAAGGATATAAGGATCAACAGACATCCAATCTGCATGAAGCCAATCCAAAGGTTGTCAACATATTGCATTAAACTGTTTTAAATAGGACAGTATTGCCATTATACAGATTTATGTCCATGATGGACATAAAAAAACTGAAGAAACAAGATTATTAAAAATGGTTAATTTGAAAAGAGGAATAGGGATTTTTGAAAAATTACAGAAACAAGCTAGGTAGCTTAATGTGAAAAGGTAATAGCAAAAAAAAGTAAACAAACAAGCTTAAGGTTTGAGACATAAGCTACAAATCCATATTTTGACTCCGTATTTAAAAGCTATAATATTTAGTAGAGAATTCATGGGTTTAGTTCCGGGTGTTTTTAATGACACGCTAAAGAAATGGATTGTACATAATACAGCATTATGGAAAGAAACAAAAACGAGAAGAAATAGAACTGAGAGAAAACCGACATTCTGTTGATCCACTAGAAATTAAGTTTTGGTTAGAACTAAGTGCAAGTAAACGAACATAATGAATGGTTTAACACATCCATGCTTTAATTTTTTACTGCGGTTTTCCACATTAGAAAAGTTTTAACATCTCCCCAACATGATCGATGTAAAATTTAGAATTTTAGGGAATAAACGTAATCGTTAGAGCAAAAATGAGAAAGGTGTTTGTGTGTTTTACAGCCTATAATTATTTAAAATTAGTTTGCTTGAATTCAGTTACAAAGTACAGTGATTTACTGTATAGTTTAGTACATATAGATGACTGACATTTCGAGAATGATAGTTAATTCCTTTATTTAAAACACTTAAGAGTCAGAAAATAAGTTTTCTGGGTAAACGACAAACGTTTCAACTTATACATCTAATATGCGAATGATGTTAATTTAGCTAATTAATCTTAGAATTACAAAGTGTGTAAAGTATACATCGTTATCTTGGTAAAATCTTACTACTCAAGTGTTTGATTCAATTATATTAAAGACTATTCACAGCTCGGTATGTCCTCCAAAGAAAAAACAGGACCACTCCACAAGATAATCGAGCCCTAGAAAATACGTAATGACTATAGATAAAATTACACATAGATATAGATATTTCGATGTGAAAGTGCCGAACGTTCTGAGTACAACTGATATAAATTTACACATAACAACAGAAATCTCCATTTCTGTAACAGTTACATACCTTAGGGAATTATTTAATTGTATATATATATTAGCTTATTTTCCTTCCTTTTTTAAGGAATATTTTCTTTCAGATCAGCATATATCGGAAATTATATGATATTGGAAAGTGTCTTAAAATTTTGTTTCACATCACCGGCTGTAGAAAGTGTTATCTGTTTTCGCAACTAGGTCTTAAAATGTTGAAATATCGACATTATTTGTCAAAGTAAGAATTATATCGCTCATACATAATATCTTTAATCAGTAATTATAGAAGAACATTATTGAATCTGTCTAGCGCTACATTATATGTTATTTTTCTATATATTTTTCACTCTGTAGATACATTAAAAAAAATTGGTAGGGGTAAGAAACGAATCATGCTAAATACCTATGGATCTATCTGGACTCTAGTTTTCTTAAGAAATACAATCACTAGGGAATTTCATTTCACGTAACCGGGGAAATGCATTTCGCATCAGGGAGTTTCACTTAAACTATTTAAGTAGATTT